AACAAATAATAAAATTTAGTATCTTTCAAAAGCAAAACCAAAGCTAATCACAAATACTAAATTTAAAAAGCCGAATATCCGATCCGTATATCATACATACTAGTATAGTACCCGGACCCTGCACGGGAGAACATTTAATACCCATATTTATTATTTAAAATATGGATATCTCTTTTTTAATACCCATATTTATTATTTTTAACTGTGGCAAATGTTTTTATCGATTTATAATTTTTATTAATGTTCTAGAAAATATTTAAAATTATTTATTAACATTATACCATCAAAATATTTGAAAATTAAGGGGTATTAAACCCTAACATGGAAACCTAAACCCTCACAAATGTACGTAAACATTGAAAACAATACATCAGTCCTAAATCTTATACTCTAGCATCAAAACCTAAATTTAAAATTTTGATATTTTGAGTAACACTGTGCATCAATTTCTTTGATTAGAGATGATAAATCTTAGAATAAAAGTCTAAACTTTTACCATGCACAATTGATGGTTTACAAAAAAAATGCATGCTATATGAAAATGATTCAATTCATTGATTTGTCATGGCCTTTCCTCCGTCAGTAACAAAATATCATCCACATTATGTCATTGCATATAAAAACTTGATTGGTGAGCTTATACGTAATAAATATAGAGTTTTAAAAATTCATATGAAAACCTATAATTATATGAAATTTTTCGAAACACTAATATACAAATTGGTTTTCAAATGTGAAAGTACTATGTAAGTTCCAATATAGATCAGACTTGGACATTCCTTCTGAATCCGAATTGATTTCTTACACGGTTTGGATTTCTTATCGATATCTAACGTTAAAAAATATCCAAATAGTCCAGCCACTTATATTTTTTAATAATACAATAATGTTGAATAATTGGTTCTTTTTACACTTGAAACTCGACATATGGTTTATGTTATATATGATTCTTTTTTGTAGCCTCGTTTTTTGCTATGTCTTACCCGATTATCAATTTTATATCC